CTCAGGGCGCGCCCCGCCCCCGCGGCCTGTGCGTCACGGCCGCGACGGCTTTCTGTGACGTCATCAGAGCGCGGCCGCTCCTGGCGCGGCCGCCGCTGTCCGCAGCTCAGCCCGGTTCGACCATGTGCCAGGTGGGCGAGGATTACCGGGAGCCCGCGCCCGACGTGCCGCTGCCCCCGCGGCCTGGGTAAGAGCTGGGCGCCACACCCGTCCCTCTTGTACGGGGCGCGAGTCCTGCCCTGAGGCCCGGGCCGCGTTTTGCAGTCTGTCGAGTCCGCGGAGGCCGAACCCAGGAGCCCAGGGGTCCCGGCTGGAGGCTGGACCTCGCTCCGCAGCACCCGGGGAGTGCCCGTCAAGCCGGTGGTGAACAGCCCAGGGAGGGGCTCCCTCTGCTCGCTCGCACCCCATATCTTCCTTCCGCCCAGAGCCACAGAGAGCAAGTTGTCTCTCCTGCCGTGCCAGCCCTGGAGAGATTGAGAGCTGGCCTTTATGTGCCCTCTCAACTGGCTTTAACGGACCAGAATCCTCCATTGCCCTTGTCTTTTTTCAAATTGGTAGTTTGGATAAGACACAAGCCATAGTTTGTGTGTGTATAGCTTCCCATATGACCTCTCTCCTACACCAAGTTGGGGTGAGAAACAGGACTCCCTCTTTCTAAAGCCCGCTGGGAGGGATGTGTGCAATCTGTGCTCTTGTTCTCTCTTCCCCCATGTCTCCAAAGCCGTGAGCTGAAGTGTGTGAAGTGCAAGGAAGGCCTGCCCATGGTGGTGATCCGAGCAGGAGATGCCTTCTGCAGGTAAGGCCTGGAGGAGGATAGGAGACCGTGGCAAACAGTCTCATTCAGAAGCTAGGATTGATTCCACTTCTGTGGCTTTATTCCTTGCACTTAAAAGCATTTAATCGCTTCAGTTCTGCTTCTAATGCCACTCCTAGTGATTCTGGAGTTGGTGGGGGAAGTATTGGTTTCCTGTGTGGATGCCATTCTCTCACCATTCAACTGTGTGGGTCAGGTGGCAGGAAGGTGTATGATGGAGCTTATGAGGAGAGTTGGCAGTAAGAGTGATTGGGGTGTAGGTGGGATGAGCATTTCTGCGCAGCTGGAACACATCTAAGGGCAATTTGGAATATCCTGGGATCTTGGGCAGGTGCTCCTCATGATGCCTGTTTTACTTATGAGGGATAGAGGAGTGGAAGGCGGGCTCAGCCTTCTTCCATCTCTGGGGGTCCTTTGGACAGGAACACAGACTTACTCTCAGAGGGGCCTGGACACCAGCATGTTCTGTTTTATCTGAAGCTCCTCTGTGCCCCTGTCACATCCTCTTTTCTATGTATGATAACTTTCACTAGATTCATAGTTCCACGAGGGCAGGGCTGGTCTCCCATTTTACCCCTATTAATTCCTGGTGATGTTGCATGGTTTGTATAGCAAATGAACATTTGTTGAATGAGTGACCGCTCACATCTTTAAATTGGTCTCCAGAGTCTTGGACTCCGCTTTCTAAAATATTCCAAAAAATAAACTAAAGGAACTGAGTAAATTGTTTTCCAAAAACTTGCTCGTCCCTGAACATCTTTTGGGAGCCTAGGAGACTTGGCGTGTGCTTAGTAGAATGAGGTATGTGCCACCAGGAAGTACATTTTAGGCAAGGAAGCCACTGCTTTAATCACTTCAGAGTATCTAAAAATGATAATCCCACCAGTCTGCTTGGAGAACTCACTGATACAAAGAGAGGCTGCAGCAGCTCCGGGCTAGGCCTGCAGGACTCCCCCTCTTGTGCTTGCTCAGTTTTGGGAAAAGGTGGGAAGCTGACTTTCTGGTTGTAGGTTTTGGCAATCTAGGTTTTGAACATGTTTCCTCAATGATTGTGAGGATCAGCACGTGTGGGAAACCCTGGCCTGACCCAGAGGGAGAGTGTGGTTTCAGGAGACTAGTGGTGCAGGGAGGACATGGAGCGGGGCAACCAGGTGGTGATTTTCTCCCACCCCCCTCACACCCGGTGAGCAGGTGAAGTTGAGCATCTGTCTGCTGGGGAGCCTCACCGCACCCCAACCTTCATGGGAGTCATTTCCCATGGCTGGTCACTTGGGGTCTCTAGAGCTCCAGCATTTTTCTATTAAACACCAAGTTGAGTTTCTGTCCTCAAAGGACTTGTGGATTGTTTGATCGGCCCATTATAAGGAGTTTCTCTTCAGTGTTGGGGGGGATTGCTATGGACACAAGGACATCTGAGCAGGAGTAAGAAAGCAGACGTGGTACAGCTCCAGGCATGGGGCAGTGTTGCCCCCTCTGCTTGGGGTGCTGTTCTCCACCCTGTCTGCTGGGGTTGTCAGGAGAGCTTTAAAATGCAGATGCCTGGGTTTCATCCCAATGTACGGTGACGTAGTGATTCTAATGTGCATTCAAGGCTGACAGTCTCTGACCTCATGAGCCGGAGAATCAGCTGGAAGTTTCATCAAGAACACAAAATTCCCGGGACCTGCCCCAGAAGTTCTCATCTGTGGGTTTGGGGCAGAGCCCAGGACTCTGTAGGAACTTCCCGGGCATTTCTGGTCCTGGTGGGATCCTAGCACTAGAGAAGAGCCTATGTGGAACTTCAGGACACTGGGCCCCTGCAACCTTCTCAGTACTTCTCCCTTCACCCCAAGACATGTGTTCCTCTCCATGGGGGTCTTGGAAGGGGTCATCACCTCCGCTTAGGGAAGTGTTGGGGTGGCCTTGTGCTGCACCTGCCTGTGTCCATCTGTTCCATCAGCTGGGACTTTCTGAGTGCCTGTGGGTGCAGGTGGCACGAGGCTCCTGGCCCCTCAGACATCAGTTCACACTGGTAAGGATTGTGGGGGTGATGCAGGTGGGCCTTCCCATGTGGTGTGAGGCTCATCCTGGGGCAATCATACCTGCTGAGAACCCCTCCATGCTGACCTGTGGTCAGAGCGTCAATATCAAGATGCTTCTTTTAAAGATGGAAGTTGGTATAAGAAGGAAAAGGTAACTGAGCAAGCATTAGGCTGCTACCCTGCAGAGGCCAGTATTAGCAGCTTCCCTTTCTTGGCATGGAGGGTAGGCAGCCTGGGCCACATGGCTATAGCCAGTGGTGGTTTGTGTTGCAGGGACTGTTTCAAGGTGTTCTACGTCCACAAGTTCAGAGCTGTGCTTGGGAAGAACCGGCTGATCTTTCCCGGAGAGAAGGTAGAGTGTGAGGTGACTCCTCTCTCGCGTCCCTGACTGAACAGCTCAGCCACTGGGCCCTGGCTTTTTACCCCTGCCACCCTTCCTGCAGGCAGCCTGTCCCAGCTGCATCCTACCAGCCCCTCCTGCTGTCCTGTGTCTGGGCTCTGAGGATGGACCCATGTCT